AATAACTATTATGACAATTGTCATTTATCTAGGGTACATCTACATTAAATTTTACCTGTTAAGTTAAGAAACATATTTTTGCCCATTAGCGTCACAAAAAATCTTATATGTTTAAAAATATACCTACCTATTATGATAATTATCATTTTTCCAGGGAACATCTTCATTGAATTTATAATATAATATACAATATAAATTATATTATAACCCTTTTGTGTCCAAAAATTTCAAAAATCTTAAAAAATAACGCATATGACAATTGTCGCATTAAAAAAAAGTTTGACATAAATATTAATAAAAAAATAATTTAGAAAAACCATCTCTTTTAATATACTTAAAATATAGATATATTAAAAAAAAAAATTATTTAGAAAAAGAAAAACACCTCTTTTAATATTCTTAAAATATAAATATATTTATTAAAAAAATATTTAGAAAAAGCCACCTCTAATAATAAACTTAAAATATAGATATATTTATAAAAATAATATAAAAAAAACTATAGAAGATTTGACCTAAAAGATTATTTATTTATGATAAAATTAACAAAAGTATTTCTTAAAAAAGATTTAAAAATTTATAAAAAATCAACAAAATATGTTTCAAAAATATTTTTTAAATTTTTGCTTAAAATTTTTAGCTCGAAAATATGAATTTTTTTTTATTTAAAAAAAATAAAATAAATAAATCCATTTTTATTATAAGATCGATCAAAACATATTTGAAATAAAATTTAAAAAAATTTTTTGTTTGATAATAATAAAATATTAACATTAAATATAAATAAAATAAATTATTTCACTAAAAATACATAAATACAATTCTACATTATTATTTAAAATATCTCAATAACATAAAAATAAATTTTGGCTCTAAATTTAAATTAAACTCAAGCTAACCTCTGAGTCGACTAAGTGAGCCGACTAAGTGAGCCGACTAAGCGAGCTGACTAAGTGAGCCGACTAAGCGAGCCGACTAAATGAGCCGACTAATGCGGCTCATTTAGTCGACTCGAGTCTGAGCTGTTTTATCGACTAGAAACTAGGCTCGAGTCGTAGCTAAGTCGAATCGGCTTAGCCGTTTAACAACACTACCCGGAACCATGGGATAAGTAAACCAAGCTCTTGCCTACTACGCCATAGAGGCTTTCCAAAAATCACGATTTTTCAAATATATATTATAAATATATTTGGTAGTGCCTATCCAAATGAAAAATGAACAAAATTCAAATTTGATAGATGGTACCTTAAGGTACCAAGCATCATTAACCAATATAAATTAACGAAAATTACCCTTTACTAATTATTTTCTGAATTTAATCATCAAAGTAATGAACACCAAAACACGCATTAAAAAAATCCCAAATATATTAGCTTTTGCTAATGAACAACGCCCAATGGATAAAATAGTTAACAAAATCCCCTTAAGAACAAATTTGGGTTAAAGATAAATTCAAAGAAAAACTCATGTCATAAGATACAAATAATCTGACAATCGATGAAAAAATAATCGTAGAGATATTAGTTTTAAAATATTTTGGAATAAAATTAAATTAAAAAAAAATAAATAACGGAATATCTTATAGAGAATATTTTATTTTAAAAAAAAATAGCATACATTTAGAAAAACGATCATCAAACCAACTTTCAGCATACTTAAAATAATAAGACTCTTTAAACCATAAAATTAAACTATAGGATAGAAGCTTGTAATAGAAAATAAATAAACTAATTTAAAAAAAAATAAAATACATTTGAATAAAAAAAAATACGCCAGAAACTACTATTCTAACATAACCACAAAGGTAGCTCTGAGGCAAAAAAAGGTAATGCGCTAACAAAATACCAACATATCAAATGTAGAAATTTTGAGCTGGTGTATCATGAAATTCATATACAAAAAATGGAACCTGGCATATAAAATCTTAGATCATGAAAAATAAAATAAGAGTAAAGCCTTAGATTTTATAGGAGATTAATAGTAAAAATTAGGAAGACCTAGGTATTACATAACCGAAATTTAAATTTGTAAAAAAACCAACATCTAATACTAAAATATGATGCCTTATAAGAATTAAAATATTTGAATCTAATATTTAAATATGTTAATTTAACAAAAGGGTATTTATAGCTTTAACGAATTTATATAATTCAAAATGTATTGAAAAAAAAGTATGTTCTGAAGTATTCCAATGGCCAAACCTTTGTGCCATCTATGAGATCGATATTGCACAGTATTTTTGTGGATAAAATAAGGAGTTAGCCGTTTTTGAAAAATCGGTCCAAATAGAGCCATTTCACACGAAAAGCAAAGGTTTAATTAATCTTTTTATTATGAATTTACCAAACTATATTTTCACATATTCGAATAATCCTAATAAATTATTGGTATAAACAATTTTAAAAATCGCGATATATTATTTTAAAAAATTTATTCCTATTTTCCCTAATATAATAATTACTGTTCTGATAAATAAAATATTCTAATAAAAAAAAAATAAAGAATATATTTATAAATAATATAACTATAATTCTAAAGTATATAATTTTTACAATAATAGTATTTTTTTTATGTTAAAAATATTTCGCATCATTTTCGTGAAAATATTGTTTCGTTATTTTTATAAAATCGATATTAGTTGTGAAAATATTGGCAATACTCTATCGTGATTGATAAGTTTTCCTAATTACCTTGGCAATCTACTTATAATAGTCCTAACGCGATACATTTTATATATATATACCGGTATCGAAAAATCGAAATTCCGATACTTTTTATATCTTAAAAATATAGTTTTACAATAATAACCAACAAAACTTCATATAAATTTTTAAAAATTATAATTAAAATAAATATCATAGAAAATATAAAATAATATTTAAACTTTACACGGATTAAACATAATTTTAATTAAAATTAATTATATGATTTCTCCATTTTTTAATAATTTTTGGGGGGCTTTTGAGCTAAACCCTACCCAATCCGCATCTATCACTCTTTGTTAACGAAGATCAACGGTCCTATCAGTATTAGACTGGAACCGGTATTTGGTATGGATCGCATTACTAAAAAAGATCGGCCCTGAACAGGTCTTTGTTACGACTCTGTCTTAATTGGTCCTTAGCCCGGACCTCTTTATATAGGTAGGTCAGGTAAAAAGACCGGATTTTTTCTCTAATCTTTATGACTAATATTTTATACAACACGTTTTGTTTTTAAAAATTAAATCAGGTTCAAAGTATAACACATGATCCGACACCCAGATTATGTGACGTATATGTGCAATTTCTTTTGATCGAGGCAACCCTACTGACGAAAAAAATGGGTTGTGCATCTTTAATTAAAATTTAGGTCTTCGTTATTTTAAAACATAAAATTTTATAAAATAATTTATAAAAATCAAAATATCGTTCTCCATTTTTTTCTCCCTATATCTACAAAATACATTCAAATTTTTTTTTTTTAAATTTGTAACATTATATCTCTGCGCAACTATTCTAGGATAGGTCAAACAAATCAAAATCTATCCAATAAAATCAAATTATTAAGTGTTTTTGTTTTGTTTTCGAATTTTCAATTATTTTTTTTGTCCGAAATCGTACTAGATCAATAAAGAGTGGTATTACTTTGTAAACATGACATTACAATAATTAAATTAGTCATCCGCTATTAACTTGCCTGTTTCAATAACGTGGGGCCACCTAAATAAATAGGGCACAACCATAGCCAAAGCGAGTTGTAGTTTAATTTTCGTTGCATCATTAGTTTATAAAACCCAAAAAATAGTATAACTGAGAGAAATAAATTTTTTTAAAAAAATGAAGTATTTTAGCTAAAGGTAGAGCACAATTATTTTCTGATAAATGGATTAACCAAGTTAAAGAGAAAAAAAAACATTCGTTCGTGGCATAATAACTCAACTAAAATAAACACGATCCGCCATAAGAGCCTATCCACTCAGTACTCATATATTCTTAGGGCAATCGTATTTATATGAATAATAAATTTCATGAACCTTCTTAAAAGGCTTTGTAGATTAAAAACACAATGTCAAAAACACCGGATCACATTATATTTCAATTCCGAAAAAAAATTATTTTATAAAGATATAGAGTCACGGTCGAAAAAAATTGTTCCCCCCAAAAACAAAAAGCCATTATCGAAAAAGCCAGAAATTGCCATTTCCTTGCCAATTTTCGTAAATTATAAAATAAAATGATAATCAAAGCCAAAAGCATAAATTAAGTGCTAATTTTTTTTTTAATTGTTACCAAGGCCTTATGATATTATTAAAATACTTGATAGTTAAAAAATTATTTTTAAAGCTACGCATAGAAATGCGAGCAAAATAAATGCTGTGTCATTAACTATATATAAAAATTTGATATATATATTTTTAAACGGTGAAAATATTTAAACCCACCACTACTAAATCTTTGCCGTATACCGGGTTAAAATATAGCTGGAACATTGGTATGATGACTACAATTTTAAAAAGCTACCCTTAAAATATAACCAGTAATTAGGGTGTTGGTGGGTTTACTAGCCCGCCTGGTCAACCTCTAAACCGCAGGAATCGCGGGTATTTTGTTTTTTTATAAAGTCTGAAATGATATTTTTATAAATATTACCGAACATTCAATATATATTTACAACTGCTGGTTAAAGTAGTGCTATTAGAAACAGTTTAGTTATAGATTTATAATATTTTTTTTTGTATTTAAAAACGCGATACTTCTCAATTTTGCTATCGATACTAAAAATATTCATTCCTATTTTTTTAAAGGGCTAATTTTAAATAACTTTTTTTATTTTGAGCATTAATTTTTTTTTTAAATATTGTTTAGTTATAAATAATAAAGATTGTGAGATTATTAAGTTAAATTATGATCTTTGCCCTGTTTAGAATTATTACGGAATTTAATTATATTAACGATTAACGTTTTTTTTAATCTTAAAAATCCTTTAAGGTTATTTTATTTATATAACGCAACAATAATAATTAATAATTATACCATATGGATAGGATTGATTTAAAGTTTTAAAACTTTTCAAATTTTAATAAAGAGATTTTGGACATCTGAAATGGAAATTTGTATTATATGGTTTTTATCTTCTTTTTGCCTGACACTTTTCTAGATAAAAAAAACTAATAAAACAATCCGAAGAGAAATTTCGAATTCATAATTTAAATCTAGTTGGAGGTTCCACGATATCTGAAACAGACGTTCAACGCGACTGGCAGCAATTTGTAATTCAAGATGAAGGAAAAGAAAGAAAAAAAAATCTGTTCCAAATGTGTATGATGTTTTTCAGTAAGTATATATTTTTTTATATAAGTGTCGGAAGTGGCATCTGAAAAATAGTATAATTTATAGATCATCACCTTAGGATATATTTGTTTGACTTCTTATAGATTACTCCATGCATTATTATATTGTAAAAATATGTATGTATGTATATATATAAATAAAATTGTTATATGAGGTGAAGTAATAAGTAATTTTTTTTAAACTCCCTAATCACTGCTCAGATTCTATTTTTTTTATAGGGTACAACTTAAATAAATAATATTAATAAAAACACAGGGTGTGCAGGATGGTGCGGTCGGAGCTGTGTTCGACCTCCGTCAAAATCTCGTCAATGTCATTGTCCAAGTCCTCCGATTCGCGCATCAATTCGCAAATTTCGCAAAACAAAAAGGCTCCCAGGGTGGCTTCCTCTTGATTATCGGTTATGTCAATATTGACCACGTGGACAGGCTCGTAGGAATTGGTGTAATTTTCTTCTAGTTGGACATCTTTGCTATAAGAAAAAAGGTATGAACTTATAAATAACAGTTTCAAAAAATAATAATTCCTATCCCTTCCAAAATGGAATGAATTTTTTAAATGTTAGATAAAATTCTTAGAATATATATATTTTTGTTGTCCAATGAACTAACCCTTTAAGTTCGCCTTTTTTAGAATTATTAGCGCTTCCGCTCCAATCCCAATTCCGCTTCTCCAAATCTTCCACGACTTGATCGTACACCCTCTCTTCGCAGGTAAATATAATGTCGAACTTATCGATATCTTTATTTTCCTGGGCAATTACGTCGACATTGTTATCCTGAGCGGATGGGCGAGATCTTTTGGCCAAAATTTCGGTGAAGTAATCTTGAAACCTTTCCGGGCGGATCTAAGGAGGAAGGTTAAGCAAAATAGTAGGAATATGATATGCAAATAAAAATAAAAACTATCGAGGTTGACGTTACTCAAAAATATCGTTATGTAACGTTACTCCTTTAAAGGTATAGTTGTTACTTCCTTTACAGGTAAAGAAACTGTTACCATGAAAAAAAGCATATATATATATTCGCGATTAATAAAGTTTATAAAAATAACTGACATATACAACATAAATCAGATTATGCTACATTTTAAATCTGAGTTACCATCTAATTGATAGCCTTTCTCATTTTTTAAGGCTATTTAAATCATTATATAATGAACTGTTCCATCTTACAGCTATGTCTAATTTTAGTTTGAAATATTTAATAGGCGCAAATATGGCGGGCACGCGATTTTCGTAATAATTTTTATAAAAGAATCACAGATACTTAAGCTAGATGATTGTCCATCCACTTACTCTATAATTTCTTGAACCACCAAATTGAGTATGTAGGCGAAATTTCGAAAAGATTTTCTGAACGTTGCGTTAGAGCTCGCATTATGACATGTTATCGCTATAAATTACTCAAACTCAACATTATATTTGTTTATAATTTGGGAAAATTATCCATATATATATTTTTCCCGGCACGTTGGTCAATAAAGGACAGTATCTAATAACAGGTGATTTAAGCTCCCATTTTTCATTAATAAAGTTGGTAGATACATCCTAAAAATAGTGTATTTAGTAGGGCTTGACCATGTATCCGTTGTAAAATTAATTTGACTTTTTGTGTTGCTTATTATTTACTTAATTTTATTAAATTCGTTTTTATAAGGTTTAATTTATATATTGCTTAATTAAGGGTATATAAATTATTTTTATGATTGGGATTTAATTTTCTAACAAGTAGTAGCAAGAATTATGATTAAGTATATCAGATGAAATCATTTATTATGGACTGATAAGGATAGAAGTCGTTTTTTTCTTATATTCAATTTCCACCTTTACACATCTTACTGTTTGCTGTTTCTGTCCTGCATCATAAACATAATAATTCCATATGGCAGAATTTTCTCCACAAACAGCAGGTTCTGCCTCAGATTGCTCAGAGGGTATTGAGTTCGATGTGATGCATTCCATATTAGGTGTACATTATCTCCATCAAAAATCATTGTCATTATTACATATTTTTCAATATATTTAAGATTAAATTAGCTAATAAGCATAGCGTACCGTTATTTAAGAAAATTGAAGATCCAGGTTACATTCCCCGGACAAAAATTTATTTAAAAAAACTGCTGAATATAAATAAATTTGTATGGGTAATATAAAAAAAAATTAACCTTTTATAATTTCATCCGTTTTTTATCCTTTATATTTATTATTTTTGTTATTCGGATATATAATTATTATTCTTTGCAGGCTCGGCCTTAAGCCCGGTCTTTATTTCAATTTTTCGAATATAACTGACCTGGGCCTAATAAATTTCTTTAAAAAAATACCCGGCATGGGCGTATATTTTAAATCCAAATATTTTGAATCACTCTTATTATCTATTAAAATTAAAAATATATTTAAAAAAATCCGGGCCGGGACATAATTTTATGAATTATAATATTTTAACTAAGATTAAGAGGCAAACTACTTTTTTTTGTCCCTCTTTTGCTTAGCTTTATAAACACATAAAAATGAAATATAATTTTTTTAGGCCCCTTTTTTTGTTTGATTTAATTACATTAAAAAGTAAGAACATATGGTTTTTGTGTTTTCTTTTAATCAGGGGTTTATCATACTTATGGATTCTTTAATAAGGTGTTCAGTAATTATAAATTAAAGTCCCGAAGATCGTCATGAATCCGGAGGTATAATTTTAGTTCGAAAAGTATGGGGGGGGGGGGTTTATCTCAAATTATGTAAGATAATAAAACTAACAACTCCCTTGTGCAAAAAAGTTCCTTTTTATACTTTGCGTCAATTTTATTTATAATTTATAATTGCGCTTAATATTTTGGTAATATACCTTTTATGATTTATAAATTTTTATATTAAATTATTTTGTTTTTACCTAATAAAATTTTAAAAATCAAATTCAATTTTTTAAATTTATTTTATATAAGGATAGTCAATAGTTTTTGGCATTTTTTAATTTTGTTCGATGAGTACCTTTTGGATTAAATAATATTTTTTTTTTAAAAAAAGAACTGAATAGAAGAGAATAAAAAATTTATGTTATTTTATTAATATATTGAGTCAATATATCTTTATACCCTCCAAACCCTGACACCCTTTTCAAAATTTTAAACTCTGTACCTGGAACTGGTTTCTATGTCGAAGGGACATGATATTACCAAAATATGAACCAAATATTTGCATTATTCGATTCTCGAAGTCTTTATACCTTCATGATATTAAGGGCCAGCCAGGAAAATCTCTACAAGATTATTTTATAAGATGCTCAGATTTGCTAAAATATAGATAGTAGTTATATTTCTCAAAAAAATAGCACTAATAAGTTACTTTTGAAATGTAATTTAATTACCTTTTTTAAGAATGCAACTTGTAACTCTAACTAGTTACTTTACAAAATTAACTTATAACAAAACACGAGTATATATAATATAGATTTGATAATATAATTTTTATATAAAAAAATTAAGCAATTATGTTATTTTTTAAATAAATGTATACCTTGATCCTTCGATTCCTGTCCAACATATTAAGTATGCCATTTTGTGTGTAAAACGGCTCATCCAGCCTGGTTAAATCCCTGAGGATGACCTCGTAAGGGGTCGAAAAATCGTAAACATTTGGCCTGTCCTGGGCTAAACCTGGTAATTTGACATTGGTTCCTGAGCCGAATGACCGTACCCGAAATCCCCGCTTGGAGAGCAGGTGATGAGCCTCCATGCTCCGGTTCATGTTACTGCTGCACACCACCGCTATCCTTAGATCCGTCATATACGCCAAGAAAATATAGATTTGTTATTAAGGTTGAGGATTGTCTATTTACAAAACAACGGAAATATAAAAGAAAATTAAATTCGATTAGATATCGTAAAATGAATCATTCCTTTAAAAAAAAGGTCTTTACCGATCACGTTAAATCAGGGACATAGAAAAGAACGTTCCGGACATGTCCCAGGAGTGGAACTTGTTGGGAATTATAGAAGCTCCCAGTATATTCCGAAAAATAATGGTTCACATAAATATTCGTTTTATTTTTTTATTTCAGTTAATTGTGTAATTTTAAGAGTTATAAAAACATTTTGTTTAGAATTAAATTTAAAATCATTTTAACCTACAAAATTTATATTATATAATATAAAAAGTTTTGAATGCGTGTGATTTTTCACACTAAAATTTATATTAATATCGCTGCCCCAAATATACTATTTAGATCTAATAACTGATATATATTTTATTTTCTTGGACACGTTTTTATTTTATGATAAAAAAAAATATTTCTCTACTTTATTCAAGACAATTTTATTAAATTATGATAATTTAAAAAATATCGCAGGGGTGACCTAATGGGTTAGATGTTTGCTTGGAAACAGAAGGACGAACAAGGACGCAGATTCAATCCTGGTAAGGAGCATAAAAACTTTCGAGTCTTTCTTCGATGACTGATGTGTAAGATGAATTTCGGAGCTTAGAGATGACACCCCGGTCATCGAGAGGCCTGGACAGCCGGGTGCTAAGGATACCTGTCCAATAAACAAAATGAAGGAAACAAATAGAAATTTGAATATAAAAGCTAGGGCGTTCTCTCCAAGTGACGCGCAGGGTGTAGACCTCCATCCTGTGAAAAGTAAAGTAAAGGTCAAAGCAAAGAAAACAAGATTAGCAAGTTTGAATATTGGGACGCTTAAAGGTAAGACGAGAGAATTGGCATCAATGTTGAACAAGAGAAAAGTTGATATAGCGTGCATTCAAGAGACGAAATGGAAAGGTCAGAAGACTTTAATGGTTGGAGATAAGTATAAATTGTACTATAATGGAATTGTTAGCAATAGGAACGGTGTCGGCATCATCCTCAGTCAAGATCTAACCTCCTCAGTAGTAGAAGTCAACAGGATCTCTGATAGACTAATGAAGATAAAACTCTGCATTGGTCAATAAATACTACACACCCTATCAGTATATGCTCCTCAAACGGGTTGCAAGGAAGAAGAGAAAGATGACTTTAGAGCTATCCTTGATGAAGCTGTATGAAAATCCCTAAGGATGACCTAGTCATAATTGGTGGTGACTTAAATGCGCATGTGGGGAAAGCAAGAGATAGCTACAAAAGGCATCATGGTGGTTTTGGATATGAAGAAAGAAATGATGAAGGAGAGCACGTACTGAAATTTGCGCAAGCCTTCGACCTTGCCTTAACCAACACCTATTATAGGAAAAAGTCAATCATTTAATAACATACGAAAGTGGTACAAGGAAAACACAGATAGATTACATGCTAATCTCTCGCAGAAGTAAAAGATGTAATAGACTGTAAAGTCATACCAGGAGAAGATATAGCCGTACAACACAAGCTACTAGTCATGGATTTACACATCTCAAATAAATCTACTCAAAACAAGATAAAACTGGAACCATGCATCAAATGGGGCAAATTAAAAACAGTGACAGATGGCTTTGCAATCAAAGCAAACATTAAAACAATAGATTCCTCACAAGTCAGTGAAAAAATGTGGACAGACCTTTCATCCAGATTAATAGACACTGCCAAATCGACACTAGGCTTGACAAGGGGAGGCAACAAATCATCCAAAGAACTATGGTGGTGGAATGAAGAGGTACAATCTACTATAAAGGAGAAAAAAGCCCTATATAAATATGGTTCAAATCGAAAAACTCAGATGACAAGACAAATTACAAAAAATCCAAGAGAAAGGCGGTGGCTAGGGCCAAATCTATGGCATACGATGACATGTATGAAGAACTACATACCAAAGAAGGGCAAAATAAAATATACAGATTAGCCAAACAGCGAGAAAAGAACTCTAGGGATATAAACGGAGCTCCAAAAGTAATCAAAAATGAAGATGGGATTGATAATAAAGGAAAAAGAAATAATGAATAGATGGAAAGAATATTTTCAGGAGCTTCTCAACTTTAATCCTCACATACTTCATCTAGACAAACACTCCCCATGTCAAAACCTTGTACAACCTATAACAGAACAAGAAATAATCACATGCCTCAAGCATCAAGCATATGAAAAACAACAAAGCTAGGAGTCCAGACGATATTCCAATAGAAAGCCTTAAAGCACTGAAATAATGGAATACATCTCCTCACAAATCTGTAAAATAAAATACTAGGAAATGAAGAGGTTCCCCAAAAATGGAGGCAGAGCTATCTAGTTCCTATCTTCAAAAATAAAGGGGATCCACACAATTGTCAAAATTACAGGGGCATAAAACTAATGTCACACGAAAAAATAATAGAAAAAAGATTAAGAGACATAATCGAAATAGGAGAGACTCAGTTTGGCTTTATGCCTGGAAGATCAACAACTGATGCTATCCACGCAATTAGGCAAATGAGTGAAAAATACAGGGAAAAGAACAAAAAGCCATGGTCTTTCTCGATCTAGAAAAGGCCTTCAATAGAATCCCAAGAACTTATCTGGTGGGTGCTACGCCACAAAAAGGTTCCTGAAAATATATAAGAATAATACAGGATATGTATATGGGCCATACAACAATTGTCCGTAGCACAACAGGTACTTCAGCAGGCTTCACAATAGCCGAAGGAGTTCATAAAGTGTCGGCTCTCAGCCCACTTCTCTTCATCACAGTAATAGATATATTAGCACAGTCTATACCTCAAACAGTCCCGTGATATTGTGATACTTGCCGAATCCAAGGATGAAATGAAAGAAAGATTAGTGAGTTGGATAAATATCCTAGAAAAGCACGGATTAAAAGTAAATAGAGAAAAGGTGGTGTATATGGTGATAGGAGGGGATGAAACAGAGAGTATTGATATAAATGAATGGCAGATATCGACAATTGAAAGCTGCAAATATTTGGGCTCCATATATAAACAAATGGCACAATAGAAAGAGATAAAGAGTAAGATTAATCAAGGGTGGTTAAAGTGGAGATCATTATCTGGAGTACTATTTGACAAAAGAATCCCACACAAATTAAAGGGAAAAATTTACAGTTCCATAGTACAACCAACTATTCTATATAGTTCGGAAACATGGCCAACCAAAGAATCAGACGAGAGAAGTCTACAAACTATGAAGATGAGAATGCTGAGGATGATTGCTGGGGTAACAAGAAAGGATAAAGTGTGCAGTACAAGAATACTAAGTAGTTTAAAGGTAGTGCCCATTAAGACTAAGTGGTAAACAGACTTAGGTGGTATGGGCACACAATGAGAAGGCCTATGAACTACATAGGAAATAAGGTTGAGAGTTTGGAAGTGATGGGCAAACGTAAAAGGGCCAAAACTTCAATGGGGCCATAAAGTTAGAGCCAATATAAAGAAGTATAAATTAGATAAAAGAGATTGTATGAATAACATAAAGTGGAGAGAGATGTTGAAGGAGCTTACACCACAGAAAAGGTGAAAGCTAAAGAGAAAAAAAATATGATAATTTAAAAAATAAAATTAAATATGCTCATTCTATGAAATTGAAAGTGACATTAAAGTTCATAAAAAGCAAAATATATTATAAAATAATCATTTGTATTTTTTGTTTTAGGGAAAATAATTCATTGGTTTCTAATGTATTAGCTCTGATTTTGCTACCTATATTTCTATTGACTTGTTTGGTATAAAAATGTAATTGGTTCATACAGAATATTTATTTATTTTTTCTTGGAAATATCAACAGGATTTGAATTAACATTTTTTGGAATGGAAGAGATGCATGTATGTGCATAAAGATAGTAAGGTTAAACCATATGGCCTCAGGCCAAAATCCAATGATAAATTAGCAGGCTCCTAGATGTTTGATATGAAAATTTCCAGGAGTGTCATGCCTATTTATATCATATTATATTCTAATATCAAGGAAAATATGATTTTCTAAATGAATAAAAACAATTCCCTAAAATTTTAAAAATCGTTGATAATTAAAAAAAAATGTAAAATATAATAATTAAATTTTGATATAGTTGGGAAATATTTACTATTTTATTTCTATATGATCTAAAAGAATTTAAAAATAAAACTAATTATTATAAGAGAATTAATTTATTAAGTATGGTACTAAAATTTTTGCAAGATCTTTTAAAATTTATTCTATTATAAGTATAGTGTCTACATAATTGAGTTGGGGATGTAGGGCCTTAGTCACTAGGAGCATTTAGGAAGAGATCAACAAACTTTTTTAGTCTCCCTTCTTATAAAATATTGCAAAATTTGCATTTTATGTCATTTGTATAAGCTTAATTATCCTTAATTTATAAATTATGATTAACCAGTTATATATATTTGACTATAATATAATATATTGCATATTTTTATTTTTTATCTAACACATATTTCAATGTTTATTCACAATAAAAATCAAATACAAAGTGATAAAAATATGTAATTTCCCAAGAAGTATCAAATTTTTATCAAAATATGCAAAAACAACACACCTATTTGCTCTAAGAAAAATTTTCTAGCTATAAACCTAATGGCAATAATGATTTTCAGGGGATTGGGAGTAAAAATTATTTGGGGTGCTATAAGTAAATCCTTGTTGTGACTCTAAATTATTTTATTTTAATATTAGCTAATATCTAAATTAATAATTTATTCACAAGAGAAACAGCATAATAAATTTCAACCCTATACTATTTATTTTTTTGTTAAATATGAATTTATATTTTTTAAAATTACTGTATTATTGAGCTAATATATAAATAAATATATATTCTAAATTTACATTTTTTGTAGAATTAATTGGTAAAGTTATGAGAACTTTGCATAATCGTATATTGTCTAAATTTTCTAGCGAAAAAATCAATATCAGCAGTTTTCTTTTATAAATATTTTTGATTTATTATTAAAAATTAATTAGCAATTTGGCTCAATACATAAAACTAAATAAAATAATAATATAATTTATTAACAATTTCATTGTAAAATAAAACTATATATTAAGCAAAAATTAATAAAATAAAGTAAAATATTTTTGGTACTTATTATTGTAACTTACTTCAACTTACAAAGTTAAGAATTAAAAATAATAACAGATTTCGAAATTTATTTTCATATAAATTAAGAATTAGGGCAACTAATTATAGAATTACAAGTTTTTAGTTTTTAATCATTTTTTAAAATATTTTTTTAATCTACAGGTGAGTTGCTAATACAAAATCCTCTAAGCAGTATATTGCGAGTTAAGATAAGGCGGCGGTGAAGAATCTTATAACTATATTTATCTATTATTTTAGCAATAAGAATACACTAAAACTGTTTTAAAATAATAGTTTAATTACACCAACTGAGAATATTATTTTGAAGGTACTTCTTTAAAATTAAAAGTTGCATTATCATAAATAATAAATAAGATGTGTGTTGCTAAAAATAATTGGTCTCAGGACTCCTTCAAATTTCTAAACATTTTGATGAAGGAATATAATAAAGCGTTTAGTTCTCAGTCAGAATTCTAAAATTATTGGAATTTTTTTAATGGAACCAATTTGTAATAAGTATTAATTAAATTCGATTCTGAAAAAAATTCCATAAAGAAATTCTGGAGAGGTTAGGGGGGGGGGAAGACGGGGTAGGGTAGAAGGGGGGGGGGGGTTGTAAATAAATAAAAAGTATAATTTTTAATTGGTAAATTTATGCTAATTCAATAATATATATTTTTAAAATTTATTTAAAAAAAGAATATTTTTGTATGACAATGGCGTACAAATATAATAAGTTATAAATATGGAGTATATTGGGATACTTGATAAACATATATAATTTGTGTAACGAGACTCGCAGTCGCAGGTGGTTTTTAACCCTCCCCTCCCCCGTTTTGGGAATCCCTACTTAACATGTCCTATGGATCTACCTGTTACTGTAATTGAGCACCTCATTTTATGTATCTCTAGATATTTTTAATGGACTTTAGATTATAACTAAGTGGTGTATATTCTATAAAATTATTAACATTGTTATCAATTTTACTATTTTTGGAAGTTTTAGATTGTGGTTATATTTCCCAAATGAAATTTTAGAACCCTCTAACATTTTTTTGGGTTTGTTTAAGAAATTATTTAATAAGAAATACTAATAATTAAAATAAAATATGACAAATATGTTGTAAAATCAAACTTCATCCTACCCCTTACTCTTTCTACTTTTTACCTCTTACATCTTCTTCCCCTTACCCCTCCTATCTCTTATCCCTTCTATCCCTTATCATCTCCTGCCGCCCTTATTTTATTTTACATTTATTTCTATTATATTTCAATAATTATATTGTGTCACCCCCCCCCCCCCCCTTCCCAATCCCCACATTCCCTGGTGGTCCTAAGACTGCCAAATTTCAAATTTTTCTATAGTCTATTGTTAAATTAATATTATTAAATAGCCAGTTTGGTCTTTTTCGCTTTTCGTTAATTATCAAGTATGACTAGAATAAATAGAAAAGTGATCCTATCATATTAAATATATCCATTCAGAATGTACAATATTAAATTTGTGTAAGGCAATATATATACTTCTTTAAATATGGTTATTTTTGGATGTTCAGGATTTTTAATTTCCTTTATAATGATGAATATTAGTACTTAAAAAATTAATTAAATTAAAAGGCACAAAATTTGCAAAAAAAATAAGATAAATATTATAAAAAAAAACTAGGATAATTTTGTATTAAACAGATGGCAAGTAGATAATCGCAAATATAATAGAATTATAGTAGTGTGAATTTTATTCCATACTAGATGGAATAGGGAATGGGAAGTTCTCTACACCCCTTCGAAAATTTACCTTTCTTGGGTGAATATTATTTTGAGAGAAAGAAATGTAAAAAATCAAAACTATTATTAAAAAATCAATATAGCCAAAGGCTTGCGATAGGTGATTTTTAAGATCTCTAATAAAATTTGAGTAAAGCCCACTCCTAGGAAATTTCTAGCCTATGCTAACAGTGTTCAATTATAACGTAAAAACCTCCGCCTCCCCTTTAGAATTTGTTAACAAGATTCGGTAGATTTGTTTTTCTTTCCGATCTGAGAGTTTTTTTGATAATCTTACAACTTACCCCCACCCTATGGTAGAAGCAACTGATACTACCCTATGATGACTATAACTGTCGCGTAATATTTTAATCTTTAAAAATCTTTCTTCCAGATATTTTTATATGATGCTGTTGCTGGGGCAATAAAGTTTTAAATTTACTTTCTCTTTCCAAGACCATTAGATCGACAAATTATATTGAAATTAAATTTTAAAAAATAATTTAAACAAGAAGATAAAATAAGACTCTATATTTTTATTGGAAGTTTCCTGTGATTGAGTGTGATTGAAAGGTGAATGTTATAAATGTCTATATTATCAGATATTTTACAATTTTAGGCCCATCTGATTTAATTTTTACCCTATTTATAAATATATTGCTTATTCACTTCTATCGCAATTCTATTACCAAAATTGAAATTTGTAACCATTTTTAAAATTACTTATAAAATAATATTTCCTATTATTTTATTTATGATATTTAGCTATATTATAGTGTAACAAACTTTATGAATAATCCCAATTTATCAATTAGTCTAAGGTATATTTTATATTATTTATTTTATATAAATAATAAGTAATACTAAAATTAATTAATCCCCAAAAATTTCTATGATCGATTTTTTGTTTATAGCCTAAACGTTTATAATGATTAATAACAAATATTTTTTAAATAATTAAGAAACCCCTTATAAATATATATTTTTTTTTCAGTGTGACACCTATCTCTAGGCATTTAAGAAGGGTTAGCAAATCGACCTTTGAATATGATGGGGCCATCTTTATGTATGATATAATACAAAAATGGTTTATTCATTGTTATTTCCGTTGACATCATTCTGAATCCGATATTAGATTCCACAACAGCAGCACCTTCCGAGCCTTCAGCCGTGATTTCCAATTTCACTTTGTGATTTATCTTGGTGATGGTCAGTCTTGAACCCTTTACGATATTGTCGATGCCGTTCCTAATTAATTATAGAAAATTTATTTATAGAATCAATCATTTTAAACCCCTTTATTATACAAATAAATAAATATTCCAATTGTTTTAGGTGTGTAAAAAAACAAGAAAATAAATAAATAATTATACAAGATAGATAATATGTCAAAAATTTAAAAATTTTTTAGCTTACTTTTTCCAGCAATCAAGTTTTTTCGATGGCAAATCTAATAGAGAGACCTCAAATTCTTCATCAATTTTTGGCATGTAAAGGTTTGCAATAATTTCTTTAGCCTTAGAAATTCCATCAACAAGACCCTCTGGGTGATTCATTAGATTTTTCTCAACTATTGACAAAGATATTGTATCATCAATGGGTATTAGCATAACTAGCTTGAAATCTGGTTTAAAATAATCCTTGACAATTATTTGAGCATTTAGTAATTCATTCCAATCTCTTAATAGTGTCATATCCACGCCTTGTAACATATCGATATCTTTAGGGCCTGATTCAGCAAAAAATGTGCGCTTTACCATTTCTCTAAAATTTATATATTGATATATCATTTATTTATTTTAAAAAATATAGAATAGTATCATTTCAAACTTAAAGTGCACCAATTAATAGTCTTTAAGAATTGCAGCTTATCCGTTTTGAGTTTTGTTAAAAATAATGTTTAATCTTATCATGTTCATTTCTAAATGTTTTTGTGCTAAGGAAGCGCAAAATGGTTTGCGTTTTTCAAATTTCTTTTTTAAAAAAATGGGCTAATTTGTGTGACTAAAATAGAATATCTTTACAGGACTTAAATTTTTATGTTTGAAATTGAGATTTTATACTTATCTATCATGTCCTAAAATTACTATTAAACATATTTTATTTTTAGGATAAAATACTCATTGAATGGTTCTTTCCAAGTGCCTTTGAAATAAAGAGAATTCACTGATAGGAGAACTGTGTTGGAATCTACTTGGTCGGGCTTGATAAAATCTACTATCAAACCATTCGTATTATTGGATATTTTTTGGTTAATCATACTGACAACGCTTGCCAAATTATTTTTAAAGTCTACGTAGTATACAGAGGCTCTGAAAATATTATCGATCACTCTAACATAAATATCATTTAATTGAACGTCAGATTTGGCGTACAAGTCATTATTGATCTTTAAGGTCAAATTTCCGTCTTGTTCTATTTCATTTAGAAGTTTCACAATACTTCGAATTCCCAAGTAATTTGTTCTAGGTGTCAGGCCCGGTATACTCGCGTTGCAACCCAGGGTTCCTATGTTCAATACACTCAAAGCCAGTTCCAAATTAAAAGGGGAAAAAACATAATTTGGTGTTTTATTTATGGCAGGAAAGTTGGATAAATAATTAGATAATTTAACTTGTGGTAGAATTTGACTCTCGATGATATGAAATTTATTCATCAAACATAAGCACGATGTGAAAACAATTATCCAATTTAGTTCTGACCCCATCTTTGTATATTCTTAGTTATAATAAGAAATTTATTCAATTTATCTTTATTTAATTATTTTTTTTTTAGAAAAAAATAAAATCAAATGAAATTTTTTGAAGATTATTAATTTAAAAGTGTCTTTTTTAAAAAAATTCCCAATTTGGATTTATTTATATCATTAATTAATTAAAGTTTGTTTTATTAAGTGCATCATGTTTTATTGAATCTAGCGATAATCAAATAAAATAAATGTAATTTTTAAATATAACGCTTAGTTGCACATTTTTTAAAATATTTATTTAATAAAAAAAAGAACTATTACAAGATTCTATATATTCTAAATATACCTGTGATTTTATAAAATTAACTTAGACAGATAAATTTGAGCTGTTAATTAACAATTATATGTCAAGGTCGATCGGCTTTTGTCAATATTTAGATTTATTTTTAAAAATTTTGCTGAACTTTTATTGATAGGGCAATAGACCATGATTATTGATATTGCTAGAGTAGATGATCTATGCAATAATTTATAATTGTATATATTTTTGATTTGTTTTTGCCAAAGATATGAAAAGTTTTTAAAATACATAGAAGAGATCAGGATTTTCCTGGAGGAGGAGGAGGAAAACATTTATATGGCTTTCCTCTGTTATATATTATATTGAGGGGTTTCAGATTCGCTTTTGCTAGTACTTAATCCGAATTACACGTTTATTTTAGAAGTAATTTTTATATTTTTTACTTTTTTATTAAATTTTTTAAATTTTTTTTAAAGAATATTTAAAAAAAAAACATTTATCATATGATTACTGTTTAAAAAATGACTGTGTAATAATCAGAAATCTTCAGGCCCAGCCCTAAGCTCGGTCCATGTTATTTTCTTTAAAGAAAAATTTTAAATAAGGCCGGCTCAAATTTTGTTTTATAAAATAATATCCAGGTCGGGCCCTTATATTTTAAAATCTAGCTATAAAAATTAAAAATATATAAAGTATATTTTAAAAAAAAAATCCGGGTCGGGCAGTGCAAATGGTATCTAGGTCTATGATAATAATAATCATTTCCTTATTTTTTATAAAAAGGCAGTTTATCCTAAAAAAAATTTATCGCTGAGTCTAAGCCATATTGGATCGGTCAAATTTAGGGGATTACTAAGAAAATTTTTTATTAATTTAAAACGATATCTACCAAAATTTGTAAAATTTGTCCAGGGGGGCAGGCTCCTACGCAGGAATTCATGGTGGATAGGATATATTCTGAATGAAAATTAATTTTATTATATAATATTATTTAGCTGAGAAAGCAATAGATAGTTCATTACATCATGGGATCTCAGATTGATATTTTTTTTGGATCGCCTAATGTTGCTATTGATAAAGATCGATAATGAAAATTATATTTTTAACTTTAAACTTTCATTTTAACTATGATCCAACTCTTAATTTTTTCAACTCTTTTAAAAATTTTAAGTAAAAGGTCTCAGAATATAGTAATTTAGCTACCCATATTATTAGTGGCATAGCATTCCCAGATTTACTCTCTGTTGATTATGATTAGATGTCCAAACTTGCATAATTGATTATGCATTCAACTTTCCTGTCATAAACCAAACAGCAAATTACGTTTTCTCCCATTTTAGTTTTGAACTGGCTTTGAGTGTATTGAATATAGGAATCCGTTGCAACAAGAGAATACCGGGCTTGACACCTAGATCAAGTTATAGGGAAATTTGTAGTATTATGGAACTTCTAAGTGAAATAAAACAGGACGAAGATTTGACCTTAAAGATCAATAATGACTTGTACGCCAAATCTGACCTCCAATTAAATGATGTGTATGTTAGAGTTATCTATAATCTTTTCAGAGCCTCTGTAGACTACGTAGAGTTTAAAAAGTATTTGACAAGTGTTGTCAGTATGATCAACCAAAAAATATCCGATGACACATTGATAGAAGATTTTAGCCCTACCAAGTAGATTCCAAAACCCGTTTTCCTAAATGAATTCTCTTTTTTTTCTAGTGCATTTGGGGGGAACCTTTTAATATGTATTTTCCTAAAAATTAAATATGTATACTGGTAATATTAGGGTATGATAAATATAAAATCTCGATCTCAATAATAAGAAATATATTTAATGTAAAGATATTTAGGCATTTAAGGGACTTCATATCTTGGTTGGACAGATACAAACAATTGCTCCCCACAACTTTCCATATAATATTTTACCGTCACGGCTAGGCACAATGACTGAATTGAATATTGGGTCTAAAATAGTCTCATGTCGATTCGAACTATAAATGTCGAATATTTTATTTCTTACTTTACATTGTAACTTAAATAGCAATTTCCCCTAAACCGGTTACTTTATTCTATATAACTGCTGAAAATGCAGATCTCAGATAACCATCCTCAGGTTAGATCATCATACATTCAGTATTTTAAATTATATTTAGAAGTCGCTAGGGATATTAATTAAAATATATCGAGACTCATAGATATAAATATCATGTCGTTTAACTACTATCTATTAAAAAGTGATTAAATTCGATTCCGATTTATTCCGGCTTGCCTAAAAGGTATAAAGGCATGATGTAATATCTCTAACAAACAAAATATTAAAGAAATTACCGGTTAATAGAATGTATATTAGGGTCGTCTTTTCTATTATACGAAGTTTTTAGGAAAGAGGAATGTCTTATAGTAAATGTATTTCTGATTCTGTGGATAATTTATAAATCATTTTTATATTACTCTTAATAATACATTTCAATTTGGGCTTAAATGGTTTATATTAATTGTATTCTATATATGTATATAAATAAAATATTTTGAGTGTTTAACTCCAACTTTTCATTTTACTTTATTTACTCGCCTCCATTATTTTTCACAGGAATTTTCCCAAGCCTTAATGAATTTCTTATTACTAGTTCCAACTAATGACAGAACCAAATAAATTTAAATAATAATAAATATTGTAAATATTGAAGAAATCGCAGATGATGACAATGTCAAAGTTGAAGAGAAAGAGTACAACTTATTAAACTTAGATATAAACAATATGAACCAAGGTATTAAGGACACAAGAAATGGTATATATAAATTTAATATGAAAATCAGCAATACACCAACGATTATTAGTAGACATTGACACAATCTTACGATCTATCAAGAGAGATAGCCTTTAAAACTGACACCAGGGAAGCAAAGAAAACAGACTTAAGATTGTCAGGGTTTTATGATAACTTGATCAAAGTCGTAGGCATAGCTCAAGCTTAGATGGGTTATGCCAAACTTAAATTTTCATTTTTTTAAATAATGTTTTTTTTGAATATATTCTTATTCTTATTCATTTTGAATATTTTATTATTCTTGTAAAATTGAAAGTTACTTTGTAATTTTTTTTATATTACTCAACATTATGTAATCTTTTTATTTTACAAAATAATTTAGCTATAATATTATTTGAAGGAATTTTAATGAAATAAAATAAAAAGAAATTATTTATTTATTTGCTGTGAAAAAATATATAAATCAAGTTTTCATAAATATTGGGACTTGATAAATTTATAGTTTACTTATTAAAAGTTGATATAAAATGGGTGTGCTAGTTTATTTTTAAAAATATGGTTCCCTAAACTATTTTTTATAATAATTAGCTAATTTAATAACATTAAAAAATTTGATAATATTTATTTTTAATCATTTTTTTTAAATTCTTTTAAAATCTACAGGTTCTTGCTAAACAAAATCTTTCAAGCATTGAATTGCGAATAATGATTTCTTCAATTTTGAACTATATCATATTTTTTTAAACCCGAGACGGAGATGAAAAATCTTAGCTAAAAGTTTAGTCATTATTTTAGCACTCGAAAACTGTTTTAAAAAAATAGATTAATTACACATCAGAGAATATTTTTTAGATATTATTTTAAAGGTATTTCTACTAAATTAACAGTTATAATTATCATAAATCCAATATTCAACGATAATATAATATAGGATGTGTAATAAAAATTAATTGGTTCTCACGACTCCTTCACATTTTCCAAACTTATTGAGGAATAGTACTGAGTTCTCAGCCAGATTTGATCCAAATGAATTAAAATTTAAAATGTTCTAAAACTATTTGAATTTTTAGTAAGGAATCAATTTGAAAGTGTATTTATAAATATCAATTAAATTCGATTCTGAAAAAGTTCTATTGCAAAAAAAAATTATGGAGCACGAAGAGTGGAGTGGGGGGGGGGGGGGGTGTAAATAAATAAATAAAAATTATAATTTTTAATAGGCAAATTATTGCTTATACAATATTTTATATTTTAAAAAATTATATAAAAAAGAAAATAATTTATTTTTATTGACAATCGTATGTAAATATAACAAGCTATTAATATAAATGAGAATATTAGCAAACTTGATAAATATATATCATTTGCGTAATTTAGCTTTAGACTCGGAAGAGGGTTCTAACTCTCTTCCCTCAGTTTTGGGAATCCCTACCAAACATGTCCTATGGACCTGCCTGCCAGCCCATGTTGAACACCTCATTTGATGAATTATATATTTTTAATGGATTTAGATTAGAACTATATGCTGGCTATTCTATAGAATTAGTAACTGTTGCGAATAATATATTTATTATTTTACTAATATATTATTTAAATTAATTTGTTCGACAAAAATATCATTATACTAAAATTAAATTTGTTTAACGAAAACATTATTTTTTTTAGTTAAAGGCTGTTACATTTATATTACTTATTTTAATCTTGTTATTAAAATACTTTTAATTACTTTACTTAAAAAATTAGTATGATTATAACTATTTGGGTATTTTTTTTATTATTTGAAATATACTATTTATGTACAAGTTAAAAGATAAAGCAAAGTCCACCCTTTCAAAGTAACATTTTTATCTATTTTACTATTTTTGGAAGCTTTGGATTGAGGATATATCGCCTAAACAAAGGAATTTTAGAACCCTCTAACATTTTCTTAGGTTTTTTTAATTATTTTAATAAATATTTTAGTAAGAATTCTATAATTAAAATAAAATATGATAAATATGTTGTAAAACCAAACCTCCCCCTAACCATTACCCTTTCTACTCCTTACTCCTTCTACTCCTTATACCTTCTACCTCTCCTTCCCCTTACCTCTTATATCCCTTACCCATTATATCCCTTACCCTTCCTATCACCCCTATTATCTTATATCTTCCATTTCTAATTTATTTCGATAATTATCTCATGTTGCCCCCAGCCCTCCCACCCCGTCCTGTGGTGATCCTAAGACTATCAAGATTAAAATTTTTCGATAAATAGATTCGTCGTTGGTTATACCACTGTCTATTGTTAAATTAATGTGATTATATAGATAGTTTTTTCCCGCTTTTCATTAGTTGCAAAGTATGACTAGAATAAATAGATAAGTGATCCTATCATAGATCTCCATTCAGAATGGACAATACTAAATTTGAATAAGGCTGAGAATTTTATTTTTAAGATGCATACTTATTTTTTGGATGTTCAGATTTTTAATTTCCTTTTTTAAGATAAATATTAGTAATTGAAATATTTATTAATTTAAAAGAAAAATTTGCAAAAATACGTAGATATATATTCTGGAAAAACTAATATAATATTGTAGTATAAATTTGAGATGGTCAAGTAGAAAATAGCAAATGTAATATTATTATAATAGTAAAAATTTTATTCCATATTTCAATTGTCACTAAATTAATAATAAATAATTAAAATGATATATTGAAATTTTTTTAAAAAATGAAAATTTGTTTTTGGTATTTCCGAAAGACAAAGGAAGTAGGCGTAGATAGGGGAAAGAGGCATGGGGATATCCTATACTTCCAAAATTTGCCACTTTTTGCGAAAATCATTTTGAGCTAATAAAAAAAAAGAAATGTGAAAAATCAAAACTATTATTTAAAAAAAAGTAATATAGAAAACCCTGCGATAGGTGATCTTTAAGATCTCCAATAAAATTTGAGTAAATAAATCAACATAACATACTAGTGCCCACCCCCAGCAAATTCCTTCCCTATGCTAACAGTGTTCAATAAATTACCTCTGCCTCCCTTAGCTTACAAGATTCTGTATCTTTCCTTTTTCTTACCGATCTTAGAGTTTTTTTTGTTATCCCTGCAACTTATCCCCACCTTATGGTAGAATCAGATAATACTACTGTTAGGTAATATTATGATTTTTAGAAATCTTTCTTGCAGATACTTTTGTATGATGTTGGGCAATAAAGTGTCAAATTTATTTTCCTCCGCTGTTATTGCTCTTTCCAAGACCATAGACTGTTAATTTATATTGTATTGAAATTAATCAAATTTAAAAAAACGGATATTAAAGAAAATTTAATCATGAAAAGAAAAATTAATTTTATACAGCATTTTTAGGGAAAGTTTAGCTCTGATTGAGTGTAATGGAAGGGTGAATGTTTTAAATGTCTTATATTATAAATCCCAATAGCTCTTTTAATTTTTACCCGATTTATAAATATAATACTTATTCACGTTTATCGCAATTCTATTATACCAAAATTGAAATTCGTACTTTCTAATTTGAAAATCTATTTTAAAATTTCTTATAATATTTATGATATTTAACGTTAACTATAGTATTGTGCAATAATTTAATTGAATAATCCCAATTCACTTTATTTCCCAATTTTTCAATAAGTCTAAAGATATAATAAAAATATATTCCGATTTTATATAATAATAAGTAATACTAAAAACTAATTAATCACGAAAAATTAATAATTATAATCGATTTTTTTTAATAACCAAAACGTTTATAATGATTTATAATCATTTAAAAAAAATATAATTTAAGAAAAACCCCACCTCTCTCTAGGCATTTAAGAAGGGATAGTAAATCGACCTTTGAATATAATGGGGCCATCTTTATGTATGATATAATACAGGAAAGGTTTGCTCATTGTTATTTCTCTTGGCAACCTTTTGTCCATAAGATCAGATTCCACAACAGCAGCACCTTCCGAACCTTCAGCCGTGATTTCCAATTTCACTTTGTGATTTATCTTGGTGATGGCCAGTTTTGAACCCTTTAAGATGTTGTCGATGCCGTTCCTAATTAATCATAGAAAATTTATTTAGAGAATCAATCAACAATCATCTTTTAAACCACTTAATTAATTACAAATAAATAAATATTCTAATTGTTTTAGGTGTTAAAAATATGAAAAAAAAATAAATAATTATATAAGATAGATATTATGTCAAAAAATTTAAAATAATTGATCTTACCTTCTCCAGCAAACAAGTTTTTTCGATGGCAAATCTAATAGAGAGACCTCAAATTCTTCATTAATTTTCGGCATATAAAAGTTTGCATTAATTTTTTTGGCCTTAGAAATTCCAATAAAAAGTTCCTCTGGGTGATTCATTAGATTTTTCTCAACTATTGACAATGGCATTGTATCATCAATGGGTATTAGCATAACTAGCTTGAAATCTGGTTTAAAATAATCCTTGACAATTATTTTAGCGTTTAGTAACTCATTCTGATCCATTAATAGAGTCATATCCTGACCCATCAGCATATCGATATCTTTAGGGCCTGATTCAGCAAAAAATGTGCGCTTCACCATTTCTCTAAATAGTCATTATAATATTGGTATATCATTTTTTTCGAAAAAATATAAAATGTTAATAATAGCATTTTAATTTAGTATAGTATTTATTTTAATTATTACAAATTCTGTAATATGATATCAATATGGATAACGAAAATACATTCTTAGACCTTTCATAGGATTTTTACAAGAGTTGAAAAATATTTAAGACATATTTATTATTGTAAAAATTTTTTGAACCAACGTTTTATTTTAAATGTGACATATGCTTAGTAGAGTTCGATCATCGATAGTGAAAGTATCAATAAATATAATTTTCATTTTTTATCCTAATCGATAGTAACATTAGGATCTAATAAATATTAATTTGTGATCCCATGATGAAATGAACCATCTCTTGCTCTCTCAGCTAAATAAAATAGTAACATTTCTCTAAATAGTCATTATAATATTGGCGTATATATCATTTTTTAAAAAAATATTAAATGTTAATAATAGTATTTTTATTTCGTATAATAGCATTTAAAACTAGTGCACCACTTAATAGTCCTTATAAATTGCACCCATTCCGTTTAAAGCTTTATTTTTAAAAAAAGTTATTTCTAGATGTTTTTGCATTAAGGAAGCGTGAAATAAGTTTTTAACTTTTTAAAAAAATAAAAATAAAATATGGGTTAATGTAAGAAGGAGCAACCATTTATCTTTGACGAAAATAAAATAACTTTACTACATGAAATAAATTTTTATGTTTGATATTGAGATTTTATACTTATCATGCCCTAAATTTATCAGTAAACATATTTAATTTTTAGGATGAAATACTCATTGAAAGGTTCCTTCCAAGTGCCTTTGAAATAAAGAGAATTCACTGATAGGAGAACGGTGTTGGAATCAACTTGGTCGGGCTTGATAAAATCTACTATCAAACCATTCGTATTATCGGATATTTTTTGGTTTATCATACTGACGACACTTGCCAAATCATTTTTAAAGTCTACGTAGTATACAGAGGCTCTGAAAATATTATCGATCACTCTAACATACTTATCAATTAATTTAACGTCAGATGTGGCGTACAAGTCATTATTGATCTTTAAGGTCAAATTTCCGTCTTGTTTTATTTCATTTAGAAGTTCCACAATACTTCGAATTCTCAAGTAATTTGTTCTAGGTGTCAGGCCCGGTATATTCGCGTTGCAACCCCGGGTTCCTATGTTCAATACACTCAAAGCCAGTTCCAAATTAAAAGGGGAAAAAACATAATTTGGTGTTTTATTTATGGCAGGAAAGTTGGATAAATAATTAGATAATTTAACTTGGGATAACAGAATTTGACTCTCGGTGATATGAAATTGTTTCATCAAACATAAGCACGATGTGAAAACAATTATCCAATTTAGTTCTGACCCCATCTTTGTATATTCTTAGTTATAATAAGAAATTTATTCAATTTATCTTTATTTAATTATTATTATTGTTTTAGAAAAAATAAAATGAAATGAAATGAAATTTTTTGAAGATTATTAATTTAAAAGTGTCTTTTTTTAAAAAAATCCTAATTTGGATTTATTTATATCATTAATTAATTAAAGTTTGTTTTATCAAGTGCGTCATGTTATATTGAATCTAGCTATAATCAAATAAAATAAATGTAATTTTTAAATATAACGCTTAGTTGCACATTTTTTAAAATATTTATTTAGTAAAAAAAAGAACTATTACAAGATTTTATGTATTCTAAATATACCTGTGATTTTAAAAAAATTAAATTGGACAGAAAAATTTGAGCTGTTAATTAACAATTTTTATATTTCAAGGCCGATCGGCTTGTGTCAATATTTAGATTTATTTTAAAAAAATTTGTAGATCGAATAAATTAAATTATATTTTGTCTATTTGAACTTTTATTGATAGGGCTTTCCACCTTGATTATTGATATTGCTAGAGATGATAATGGATCTATGGAAAACTAATTTGTAGTTGCTCATATTTTTTATTGGTTTTTGCGAAAGACATGAAAAGTTTTAAAATTACTTAGAAGAAGTCAAGATTTTCCTGGAGGAGGAGGTGGCTAACATTTATTCAGCTTTCCTCTGTCTATTTTATGGGGGGGGGGGGGGTTTAGGATAGCTTTTGCTAGTACTTATTCGGTATTACACATTTATTTTAAAATAATTTTTGATATTTTTCACTTTCTTATAAAATAAACTTTATTTTTTTTTAAGAATATGGTTATTATTTCAAAAAAAAAATATTTATCATATAATTACTGCTTAAAAATGACTGTGTAATAATCAGAGATCTTCAGGCCCGGCCCTAAGCCCAGCACGTGTTATTTTTTTTAAGGAAAAATTTTAAATACCAAGGCCGGATTTGGCTTGAAATTTTTTATTATAAAATAATACCAGGGCTCGGGCCTTATCTTTCCAAATATATTAAAAATCCGAGACGGACCTTGCAAATGGTATCTCTGCAGGTCTCTTGATAATAATAATATTACAATAATAATTTTCCTTATTTTTATGAAACGGGTTTTTTTTTTTAAATTCACCTAACTTTTGCCAACTCCAATTCATCTCAGATTATCCTAAAAAAAAAAGTTTCATAAATAGGAGATAATTTATTTCATCATGGCGTCGGGCTAGAATTGGAGTGCTCCACTTGCGCAAATGTTTAAAATGAGAAAATCAACATTAAAGTTTAAAATCATATATAGGAATAGCTTATTGATCAATTTTGACAGAGCTATAACGGCAAATATTAATATTTTTTTAATCTAGTTTTTATTTAATATGTTAGCGGTAATGTGAAATATTCGGCAATGTATACATTGCCGGGATATTTTCGGCAATGTGAGGTAGTGGTAGGCAGGGTAATTTTGTTATTTCGGCAAAGTATACATTGACGAAATAACCTGGCAATGTGCACATTTGCCTGGTTAAATCAGGCAAAAATTTATTATTTATTTACTTTAATAAATTTTTTTAAATATATATTTTTTTAAATATATTTTAATTTGTTACAATATATTTTTTGATTGATATTTTTTTCTATTATATATTTTGATAGTTAATATATTTTATTTTTTGTGTTATATGATTCCTTTAACAAACTTTTTTAAATATATTTTTTTGATTGATATTTTTTTCTTGATATATCTTTTGATCGCTAATTTTTTTTATTTTTTGTGTTATATGTTTTTTTAATAAATTTTTTAAAATATATATTTTTTTAATTTATATTTTTTATTTTTTGTGTTTATATGATTTTTTTAAATATATTTTTTTGATTGATATTTATTTTTAATATATATTTTTTTTTAAATTTATATTTGATATATCTTTTGATCGCTAATTTTTTTAATTTTTGTGTTATGATTTTTTTATTAAATTTTTTTGATTGATATTTTTTAATCTATTTTTTTAATAAATATTTTAAATATATTTTTTTGATTGATATTTTTTAATATAAATTTTTAAAATGATTATTATATATTTATTTTACGTAATTTTATCTATTTTATATCTTTTGATAGATAATTATTAGGTAATAGTGACAAATGTCATAATCTTTATTTTTGAACTTTTTTGAGTTTGTTTAAAGCAAATAGATAAATATATGTTTTGTAAATATGTTAAATTAATATTTCAGTGAAAGTGTACTATAGAAAAGTGACAATTGTCATAATCGTTATTTTTAAACTTTTTTGAGTTTTTTTTGGGTAAAAATATGTTTTGTAAACATGTTAAATTAATATTTCAGTGAAAGTGTACTATGGAAAAGTGACAATTGTCATAATCGTTATTTTTGAACTTTTTGAGTTTTTTAAAGTAAATGGGTAAAAATATGTTTTGTAAACATGTTAAATTAATATTTCAGTGAAAGTGTACTATGGAAAAGTGACAATTGTCATAATCGTTATTTTTGAACTTTTTTAGAGTAAATGGGTAAAAATATGTTTTGTAAACATGTTAAATTAATATTTCAGTGAAAGTGTACTATAGAAAAGTGACAATTGTCATAATCGTTATTTTTAAACTTTTTGAGTTTTTTAAAGTAAATGGGTAAAAATATTTTTGTAAACATGTTAAATTAATATTTCAGTGAAAGTGTACTATGGAAAAGTGACAATTGTCAAAATCGTTATTTTTGAACTTTTTTTAGAGTAAATGGGTAAAAATATATTTTGTAAACATGTTAAATTAATATTTCAGTGAAAGTGTACTATGGAAAAGTGTCAATTGTCATAATCGTTATTTTTGAACTTTTTTAAGTTTTTTTAAAGTAAATGGGTAAAACTATGTTTTGTAAACATGTTAAATTAATATTTCAGTGAAAGTGTAATATGGGAAAGTGACAATTGTCATAATCGTTATTTTTTAACTTTTTTGAGTTTTTTTAAGTAAATGGGTAAATATATGTTTTATAAACACGTTAAATTAATATTTCAGAGTGTATTATAGAAAAGTGACAATTGTCATAATCGATATATTATGATTTTGAAGTTTTTTTAAAGTAAATGGGTAAAAATATGTTTTGTAAACATGTTAAATTAATATTTCAGTGAAAGTGTACTATGGAAAAGTGACAATTGTCATAATCGTTATTTTTAAACTTTTTTGATATTTTTTAAAGTAAATGGGTAAAAATATGTTTTGTAAACATGTTAAATTAATATTTCAGTGAAAGTGTATTATAGAAATGTGACAATTGTCATAATCGTTATTTTTAAACTTTTTTGAGTTTTTTTAGGTAAAAATATGTTTTATAAACATGTTAAATTAATATTTCAATGAAAGTGTATTATAGAAAAGTGACAATTGTCATAATCGTTATTTTAACTTTTTAAAGTTATTTTAAAGTAAATGATAAAAATATGTTTTGTAAACATGTTAAATTAATATTTCAGTGAAAGTGTACTATGGAAAAGTGACAATTGTCATAATCGTTATTTTTAAACTTTTTTGAAATTTTTTAAAGTAAATGGGTAAAATATTTTTGTAAACATGTTAAATTAATATTTCAGTGAAAGGATACTATAGAAAAGTGACTGTCATAAACGTTATTTTTAAACTTTTTTGAGTATTTTTAAAGTAAATGAGTAAAAATATGTTTTGTAAACATGTTAAATTAATATTTCAGTGAAAGTGTATTATAGAAAAGTGACAATTGTCATAATCGTTATTTTAAAATTTTTTGAGTTTTTTTAAAGTAATGGGTAAAAATATGCTTTGTAAACGTGTTAAATTAATATTTCAGTGAAAGTGTATTATGGAAAAGTGACAATTGTCATAATCGTTATTTTTGAACTTTTTTAAGTTTTTTTAAAGTAAATGGGTAAAAATATGTTTTGTAAACATGTTAAATTAATATTTCAGTGAAAGTGTACTATGGAAAATTGACAATTGTCATTAAAAATATGTTTTGTAAACATGTTAAATTAATATTTCAGTGAAAGTGTACTATAGAAAAGTGACAATTGTCATAATCCTTATTTTTGAACTTTTTTAAGTTTTTTTGTAAATATGTAAAAATATGTTTTGTAAACGTTAAATTAAAATTTCAGTTTAGATATGTTTTATGTTTTAAAGTCACCAACAGTAATATCAACGATAAAATTCCTAAATTCGCTTTTATTTATATATTCAAAATTAATGATGAGATATTTTCCTGCAAATCGTCATTCCTTGATTTGATTGAACATAAGTTTTATTAATAATACATTTATCACTTCAAATGATAATAAATTCCACTATTATGATCAAACTTTAATCTTCATAGCATCCGGAAATGTTTTTTTAACATAATTTATAATAGTAGGCCGATATAAGATTAAAATAATTGTAAGATTAATTTATTTTTTCCTAAAATGTTAACTACGAAATATATATAAATATAGAATCCTGCATTTATTTGTATATCAACTATCTATAATATCTTTGACTTATTTATTTCAATTCTGTGAGTAAATACATTTTAAATATTTATTCACTTTAGTGAACTCTAAGTTTTTTCGAGAAATAAAGGCCTTTTAAATATTTTTTTTACTATATTTTATTAAATTATGCTTGCCTCTCTCTTTGAAGGCCTTTGGCCAATTTATGTTTTAAATTTTCCTCGGGTTTATAATCTTTTTTTAAAATATTTCTCACAAATTTTATAAGGTGAATATTATTATTCATTTTATTATATTTTTGTTAGAATGTTTGGTGTATAATCTTAGTAATTGTTTAAAATAAATATAAATATGAGGGCTAACTTTGAAAATGCTAAAATTAATTTCGTAATTATATTCATTTTCGAAAAGCTATTTAATACTTTGATAGATTTAAATTTCAATAGTAGCTCTAACTTGTAATTTTAGATCGTTCACTAAAGTGAATAAATATTTAAAATGTATTTACTCACAGGA